CAAAGCCTTCGACGAGTTTAAGACGAGGTTGGAGAAACTGGAAAGCACCATTGACGAGAGGAATGGAGATAGTAAACTCAAGAATAGGCGTGGAGCCGGGCGTGTGCCGTATGAGGCTTTCAAACCATCTTCAAATCAAGGGGTCACAGGAAAGGGAGTTCCTTACAGCATTTCCACTTGAAATCAAATCAAATCACCTACTACGCGTCTTTGCTCGCTATACCTCGTCTGCTCTTTCCTAATTTTCTTAAGCAATTGCCAGTTACACAATAAGATGGTGTCATTTTTTATGATATCATATTTGTGTCAGTGTTGGCCGAGGTAAGGGTCTCGCGCCCATGCCTATATCTATGCGTGATGTTCGTTTCGTGTCTTACCTCGTCTTGGTCTCCACTCTCGGGAGAGTGGTTTTTTAATTAAATAAATCTTCTCGCTTTGTTTGGCTTGGCTTAATATTTACTTTTGAATGAATTATTTTCTTATTTCGGAAGGCTACTTGCAAAACTAACAAAATGGCCCAATTAATAGTAAATACAGCTGCCCCAATTGAAATAATTGCACATTCAAACTCTATCTCTGTATTTATTGGTGATTTGAAATCATATTTAAGTTAAAGATAAATCTTATGATTACATAGTTACTAGTCAGCAGTAATAATAACATCGGTGTTGATATTCTTAAGATTGAGATATACACTACACATTTTGATCTCTCTCCCACTAATTTTGTACATTTACGGTTATTAATTCACTATCAGAGTTTTAATAATTGGTCATACTTATTGGTAGAAAATACTTAGCTTCTTATTGGTGACTTGGACGAGCGTGCCCCGTTGAAATTAACTAAATAAAAAAATAAAATATATTGTATGTACTTTGCCATAAAATATATTGTATATACTTCGCCATAAAAGAAGCTTTAAGCCTGTTGGCTTTGGAGCACCTCTTGAAATCTTGATGACCCCACGATCCGGTTGTAACTTCTTCTGAACTCTAATTTTGTTTGGTTTATTCTTTTAATTAATATCATGTCTAATAACTTATTATAATTTAGTTTCAATATTACTTGTCTGATCATGTTTATAATACAATAGTACATGTAAAACTAATTTGGAAAAGTTTAATTTTTTACCTCTATCCATTTTTTAGCATAAACTTTCAATTTCAATGCTAATGTAACCGCAGTTCAACTGGTTAAAACATATCTCCGATTAAAAAGTCGTGAGTTCAAATTTCTTCTCCAACTTAGATAAGTGTTTCAATTTTTACCCTCTTTTAATTTCCACTAATTTACCAATTAATTTGAAAAAAAAATGTAAAAAATACCCAATAAAAACCACTAATTTAATAAAAACAAAGCTTCCCCCAAATTAAGTTTGATTAATTAATAAAATCAACCATTAAATAATTATGCTAAAACTTACCAATAACAAAAAAACTAACTCTACTCTTATTTTTGTACGAATCCTTTTTATTTCATACCAAATATATGTTTTATAATTCATTTAACACGAAATACTTTTTTCCAATGATTTTTCTAATGAAAATCTATCAAATGATAAAAATTGCAATGCTTTTAAAATTTTATTGAAGATTGCAACACTTATCCAAGTTTAATATAAAATTTGGTGAGACTGAAAGTTTAAGGTAAAAATTGATATATATATATATGGCAAAGTTCAATGTTAGGTTAAAAAAAATTTCGTTTACATGAATTTGTGTCATTGACATAAAAGTATCTCCCATTGTCAATGAGGACTAATGTTGCTCTCACCACCATTAAATAATTAATAAATAAGAGAGAGAAATACAAAAATTTTATTTTTTAAAAAAGGACTAATCAATGGTCAATTTTTAAGAGAATATTTGATCATCACATGTGAGAAGTCGGGTATTTATTTTCTATCCTTTATTGAGATTTGAGACTTGGGAGAGGGAGTGATGTGTGGTTCTTCTTCCCAATAATTTCGCTCTTCCTTTGTTTTTTTTTTCTTTTTAATTTTTTTGAGTGGCTATAAGCTAAGGATATGGGCCATAATGATGAATAGAGAATTGCAAATGACAACCTACCAACTAGGGAAGAGAGGGGCGAACCAACTAATTATTAATAACCAAGAAAGAGAAATTATAAAAAGTTGAAAAAATATTCTCATGTCGTGAAGTATGGAATTACTTGCAAATGGGTACATTGAACCTCAAATTAGTTATTCACACGCAAGAAACGTTTAAAAATGATTTTAGAAAAGAGCGATTTTAACAAATATATATATATATATATATATATGAATGTAGTTTTTATATAATTATTTTTACATTTGGTTATATACTAATTTTCATATAATTAAAAGTGATTTTGAATGATATTTAAAGTTTATAGAGAGAGTTTGACAAAAATTTTAAAGAGAAAAAAGTCAGGGGAACAAAAATGGTAAGAATAAACAAATTTTTTAGAGTGAGAAAAAATTTAGAGGGAGAACAATTAGAAAAAAAGAAACGTTGACTAAAAGTTAGAGAGGTTAAAGAATTTTAGACATAAAAAATTGGGGAGAACAAATTATATTAAAGATAAATAAGTTAGAGACAGAAATTTGAAAATGAAAAATATAAAATTTCTCCAAATTTATGGTAAAAAAGAAGTGAAACATAAAGATAAGTTTGAAGTTTAAACAATAACCATTTTAAAAATTAATTTTCTATTAATTTTTTTGTTTTCTTACCTAAAAACATTTGGAGAATTACCAATCAAAGACCCATAATTATTTAAAGTTATTTTAAATTTTTTTTCAAAATTACTAAGTATCATTGTCAAATATATCTATCTTAAAATAAAAATAATTTTAAAATTAATGAGATTATTTTTTGCCAAGTCAAAATCACTAAAAAAAATAAATAATAATAATAATAAAAGTTCTCTTTCACTAACAAAACGTGGAGTATTCATCATAAAAAAAGAATAATAATAACAACACAGACAAACAAACCCTGGAACATTTGGTTTCAAACGAGACCCACTTACCTATAAAAACTTTTGTGGTCAGCATTTGGGCAAACAAAAATCTACATTTTATTATTTTAAAATATAAGATTAGATTGAATTTTTTTTTTTCCAAAATTCGATTATAGACTTTTCAGGACTCAAGCATGAAATTTTGGGGCAAAAAATCAATTTACTATCCTAAAGTTGATATATATATCAATTTTTATCCTAGACTTTCAATTTTACCAAATTGATTTTTACACTTAAATAAGTGTTGCAATTTTTCTTTTTAAATAGGCTTTTATTTAAGAATCTTTTTAAAAAGAACTTTCAATATATACATCAGTCAATAATTAGTTAATGGTTCTAAAACATGAAGTCAGTTTATTACTAAATATAAAATAGATTTTGGGTTGGGATGGTTTTGGACAAAGTTGACATATAGGTTTCACAAAATCTTAAAACTTACATCAAATCTGATTTTTGTTATTAGATTGAATGATTTAACCCAACAAAAACAGCTACCAAACCATAAAAATTCAGCGATTTTTGTTTTGTTTTACGCGATTGAACTAAATAATAAGTATGGTTCCAACCAACCAAACCAACTTGATTTGCCCATTTTTTCAAATTCATTTGTCACCCCTAATGTTTAATTGTAATTCAAAAACAAAATTATCCATATATGAATGAATAATTTTAATTTAATTTATTTACTTATTTATTATTAAAAGTATAATTGATGAATTTTCTTATTGATTTAATACGTTTCATAAAAAAGTTAATGAATTACAGAAGAGATAATGAACTACTGTAGTAAATTTGAAAAGTAAATATATAAAATATTGTAACAAGTATCATAAACCATGTTTGTAACAAACATTGTAAATAACAGTTTTTCTTTTTTCAATCAGAGACCTAAATCAAATTATTTGTTTCTAAGTTATTTAACAGCTTTATTTATTTATGTGGCCTAATCATACGTGCTACAAAGAGTAGCACAATTCAATTTGTAGCCGCAAAAACAGTTTTCACTTATAGTAAGATTTTATTATTTGTTTTTTTTTTTTTTTTAATGAAAAACGAAGCTTTTAAGATACTGCCACTTAGGCTACAGTAGGAGACACAGTAGTCTATGTGAGGTTTTTCAATCAAAGGGGAAAATCGTGTGGAACCAGAATTTGTTGCAAAATTCCAAGAAGCAAGTTTTGCAAGGGAGGGAGGTGGCCAAGTCAAAGCAATAAGAGAGTTATTTATTTATTTATTTTTAACGGGAGAATCTAACTCACAATTCTTAGTTAGAAATATATGTCAATTAGGATTGAGTAATGCTCCATTTTGACCATCAGAGAGTAAATTGATCTCAAAGACCGATGCGATTTCATCACCAAAAGAAAGTAATTTCACCATTTATGAGCTTAATTGCAATATGAGAGTCGGATTCAACAATAAAATCGTTGCAACCAATTGATCGAAAACAAACTTGAGCCTTTCGAGTCGGATTCTGTTAAGGTCAACGATACATCAAGTACTCCTCGTATCTTCACAATGGTATGATATTGTCCGCTTTGGACATAATCCTCACGTCTTGCTTTTAATTTCACCCAAAAATGTCTCATACCAATGGAAATAATTGTCCTCTCTTATGTATCATGGATCAATCCCTTTTCTAGTCAATATGGACTTTGGTTGCATCCACCTTATAAACCGAACAGAATCATTCAAGATTCGGATTTTTTTGTTGATGAATG